TCAAATTGTTTTTTATTTCTTCTCTTAATCTTCTAGCAATGTTGACAAAATTTATTTCTTCTGTATTATCAGCATTAACGGTTACAGTTTCTTCTGGCTCAGTTCTAATATCTGTAGGTTGCTCGACATTATACCAAATACATATGTTGTGAAGAGCACAACATACGTTGAGTATTTTAACAACTTTTTCTGGAGCATAATGAAGCTCCCGTGCAGCTAAAAGGCATCAAAATCGACCTTTTAACACGCCAAATACTCGTTCTACTAATGATCTTCCTTTCGATAGACTTTGATTAAAAAACAGCTCGTCAGAATTTTCCGCAGCATTTCTATACGGAGTTAATAGCCATGGTTCCAGCGGATATCCAGAGTCACCTATGGTAGGACAGAAGTGCAATTGTCAATAAAAGATTTCGTGAATGGATATTAAAAGGAACTTACCAAGGATTCGCACACCATTGTCTCCATTCGCATAATTTGATTTTAAATAATCCCGCTCGCTTGACAAGTTCCACACATGGGAATCATGTGACGCACCTCCAAATCTTCCGTTGACAGCTCTAATACGCATTTGGTGATCACATACCTAAAATACAAAGATACATACATACATAGCATATTCAGTAGATCATCCTCTTACCACCATTGCATTTATGCTGTGCTTTAATTTGCGGTTAAAAAATAAATGTTCGTTCCTTGTCGGCCTTATTATTTGGATGTGCGTCCCATCCACCACTCCAATAACTCCTGGGATTCCACACATTTGATAGAAGCTCCTGTTGGCATCAACTCTCTCTTGGTTGTTTATACGAAACACTATATGTTTCGGACACAAAACTTTTTCAATCGCGTTGCATACTTCTAAAATGCATCTTGATACGGTTTGTTGTGCCAGCCCTGCATGTCGATCTTGTCCAATAGAGTGTTGATAACCGCCCTGAGCGAGAAATTTTAAAGTGGTCGAAAGTTTCACTATTTCAGGGACTGCGGTAGATCTTTGGGAAACTTTTAGTTCACTTCTTATGCTGTCCAACACGTACATAAATGCTTCTTTACTGAGCCGAAAATTTTGAACAAAACTAAGGATACAAAATTAAAATTTGTATGCTGAGTAATTTGAAAACACTAATATTTCAACTTACCTTTTATCGCTGAGGGTCATAATGTTTGAGTTATCTCGAATTATTTTCCTCTGGACCCTTTCTTCATTCTGAAAGTCATCCCATAACGCCACAGAATCCATTTTTTAATTAAAATAAATTAACTTGCAATCCTTTATCCTTTAAACGTTTTTATTTTCTTTCTTTTGTTCTCTATTTCTTTCACGTTTCTGTCAGTAATGCCAACCCTTCTTGAGAAATAAGCGTACAAGTAAAAAGGCAACATTGGTGGGGATGCGAAAGCAATAGAGAGTGCGAATTTCCCATCGCATCGCGTTTGATTTTCGAATCGCATTGCTTTGCGTATCGAATTACAGAGTAAGGGCCCTGGACTCAGAAGCAAGTCAAACAATGTGCGCATGCTAAGTTCTCTTTTACAGGTCTATTATAACAATTTGGTTACAATAACTTGTCACCTTAAATTTGTTACAATTTTGTAACCAATACTTGTACCGGGTATCCTAGCAACTTATGAACAAGGAAAAGTTCACCTTGTGGTGAAAGCGAAATTATTGGCAGCACTATTCACAGCTGATTACTAAAATAATGAAATTGACAGACGAAAAATGGAAACGCAGCAGCGAGAAAAGTAAGTATATTTTAACTTATTTAGCCATTTATGCAAATAACTCAATTTATTAAATGTGTTTCTTGCAGAAAATTTCCGCGGACAACGCAGGAACAACTGCAATGCTATATTGTATATACAAAGAAGAATCCAGAGCTGGTGACTGGAAAAAATACACCTGCGCAGCCACGACAGGTGCAAGATCTGTGGGAGGAACTAGCCAAAAATTTGAATGCGCTGAACGGGCCCACACGTACCCCAATTAAGTGGAAGGAGGTAAGTAGCAACATGCATTTATTTAGCAAAAAATTTTTACTTTGTATTTCCTTTTTGCAGTCACTGGCAAACTGGAAAAAAACCATTGCGTAGTCGGGCGAGAAGGCTCAAAGCGGACCAAATGGGCACAGGAGGCGGGCCAAAGCCTGATGATTTGGGAGATTTTGACAGCCAAGCACTTGAGGCACTGGGAATGATGACAGTGGATGGGATTCCTGCTCAGTAGCTGGGATTCCAGGCAAGAATAGATCCCATTTTTAATTATTGGATACTGTATGCTCCACTGCACATGACGTAGTCCCAACTTTGTGCAAGTTACGGTAGATGAACCCTGCAGTCCACCCGTTCATACGAGTATTAATGTTTTTTTTTTAATATTATAGGATACTGTATGCTCCACTGAACATGAGGAAGTCTCAGCTTTGCAAGTTACGGTAGAAGAACCCTGCAGTCCACCCATCAGCAATAGTCCTCCCTGCAGAACCAATATTTTTTTCTCGCAGCGATATTTCTCCTTCCAACTTACCCATTGAGGCAACACCATCCAGAACAAACAACAAAAGAGGAGGATCACAGGAACTCGCTGATGTTGTGTTAAAACATATTAGAAAGCGAGAAGAGTACGATGACCGTATGCTTGAGCAGCAACCAAGAACTAATGATGCTCTAGCTAAACTAGGAGAAGGATTTTTGGCTCTTGCTGAAGCTATGAAAAAGCCTTAAAGCCTTATTGTATTGTATTGCTGTATTGCTGATTTTGGTCAGCCTGCTTTAAGCACACTAATTTTTTTTGCTGTACTGGCGTTTTTGAACTTAAAAGAATACTGAATTTATTATTTATTTTATTATTTAAGTATAGCCGTCATCGATTCGCCACTTCTCGCTCGCTATGTTTGAGTTCCGGTCGCTTAAATAAGAATTTTGCATGTGAAAGCAACAACAAAGTTAGCTAGCACTGATAGACGATAGCGAGTTTGGTTGTACCTCATTGGCGAATCGATGGCGGCTTATATTTAATTTGCTACATGCTTATATAATGTACATATGTATAAAATTCAAATTATGTATGTATATTTCGTTATCCTAATACAGAAATGCCTTGTTTTACATTTTTGTTTCTGCACAGATTATTTTAAAACCTTTATCGATCCCGAAGTTTCTCAGTTAAGAATTTTTTGAAGACACTGTATTTTATTCAAGAATGTATCTTATTTAACGATGCAGTAGTCGCTTTCGATTTCGGTTAGGTTCTTAGTGAGTAATCTTCCGACTTTAGTACAAAGCACTTTAAAGAAAAATCAATTTAGGCCATTCTATATTAAGGTAGCGACAAAGTGGAAGTTTGAAGAGGCTAAGTAATCGCGTGGGTTAAAAAAATTTATTTTTATTGTAGGTGTTACTCATTTTATCCATATAAAAAAACCCTATTGCTCATTTACTTCAATAGTGTCATAACTCAAAAAAAAAAAACAACAAAATCGAGAAAAACGGCTTTAATGTTTTGAATTTACCTATACATACTCCCATAGAAGAAATTAATATATACATACATATCGTCACCTGGAATGCAAAAACAACTTCGTAACTGAAATGGAAAAAGTCGTGAATAAATTATTTTATTTTTTTTCATTAAATGATGTGGTAGTTGTAATTCGATGAAATCCATCATATCAATCAAAAACAGTCTTTTTGCATTTCAGTTGACGATATGTGTTTTGTTCTAGTGGGCTACTGGTAATCGAGATATACATGTGGGAACACCGCTTGTACATGTGTGAACACCGCTCATGCCTAATATTATTTTAATACCTGAATGCAACCATGTTAACTTTTCGTTTT